TCTGCAGGTAAGGGGGGGACAGGTATGTGGGGGTTGGGAGGGGTATGGGGGGGGGGGTTGGGGGAGGGGGAAGGTGGGGGGATGGGTGTACCTGACGCTCAGTATGTTGCCATCCGCCTGGTTCTGCAGGTAAGTCTTCACCACCCAGGTGGTGGGGGGACAGGTATGTGGGGGTTGAGGAGGGGTATGGGGGGGGGGGGGGGGGGGGTTGGGGGGAGTGGGGAAGGGGGAAGGGTGGGGGGGATGGGTGTACCCCTGACGCTCAGTATGTTGCCATCCGCCTGGTTCTGCAGGTAAGTCTTCACCACCCAGGTGGGGGGACAGGTATGGGGGGTTGAGGAAGGGTATGGGGGGGGGGGGTAAGGTGGGGGGGGGTTGTGACGCTCAGTATGTTTGCCATCCGCCTGGTTTCTGCAGGTAAGTCTTCACCACCCAGGTGGGGGGGACAGGTATGTGGGGGTTGAGGTAGGGGTTGGGGGGGGGGGTGGGGGGGAAGGTGGGGGGGGATGGGTGTACCTGACGCTCAGTATGTTGCCATCCGCCTGGTTCTGCAGGTAAGTCTTCACCACCCAGGTGGGGGGACAGGTATGTGGGGGTTGAGGAGGGGTATGGGGGGGGGGGGTTGGGGGAGGGGGAAGGTGGGGGGATGGGTGTACCTGACGCTCAGTATGTTGCCATCCGCCTGGTTCTGCAGGTAAGTCTTCACCACCCAGGTGGGGGGACAGGTATGTGGGGGTTGAGGACAGGGGTATGGGGGGGGGGGTTGGGGGAGGGGGAAGGTGGGGGGATGGGTGTACCTGACGCTCAGTATGTTGCCATCCGCCTGGTTCTGCAGGTAAGTCTTCACCACCCAGGTGGGGGGGACAGGGGTATTGGGGGTTAGGGAGGGATATGGGGGGGGGGGGTAGGGAGGGAGGGATATGGGGGGGGGGGGGGGGGGTTAGGGTTGGGGGAGGGGGTATGGGGGGGGGGGATGGGTGTACCTGACGCTCAGTATGTTGCCATCTGCCTGGTTCTGCAGGTAAGTCTTCACCACCCAGGTGGGGGGACAGGTATGGGGGGGGGGTTGAGGAGGGGTATGGGGGGGGGGTTTGAGGAGGGGGTATGGGGGGGGATGGGTGTACCTGACGCTCAGTATGTTGCCATCCGCCTGGTTCTGCAGGTAAGTCTTCACCACCCAGGTGGGGGGACAGGTATGTGGGGGTTGAGGAGGGGTATTATGGGGGGGGGGGGTTGGGGGTTGAGGGGAGGGGGAAGGTGGGGGGATGGGTGTACCTGTACGCTCAGTATGTTGCCATCCGCCTGGTTCTGCAGGTAAGTCTTCACCACCCAGGTGGGGGGGACAGGTATGTGGGGGTTAGGGAGGGATATGGGGGGGGGGGGGGGGGTTGGGGGAGGGATGGGTGTACCTGACGCTCAGTATGTTGCCATCCGCCTGGTTCTGCAGGTAAGTCTTCACCACCCAGGCGGTGTGCTCCCGATAGGTCATGACGCGGCTGAGGAAAGGAAGAGGTCAGATCAGGAACCGCAGAGGATTCTGGGAAGAAGACGTCTATAGCCTCCAGGAGGCGGAGCCTTACCAGTCATTGTGGGACATCCGGCTGGTCGAAACACCCGGACGGTTCCGTCCCCGAGGCCGGCCACAATCAGGGAGCGATGGGACGTGTCCCTTTTAGTCGCAGGACAGGCTGGTCACACAGCTCTCCGCTCCCGGTCGGAATATCCTGCAGAGGAAGCCGCAGTTACAGGGGAACTCCGATGGGAAGAGATGATGTCACAGACTTTTCTAGTGGAAGGTCATTTCCTGACGCTGGGGGAGGAGCTAACACAACGATCACAGCAGAATATTCCGCTGTCTGCTCCCACCTTCCTTCATGATGATTGGTTGTCAGTGGGAGGAATCCTACACCGCATCTGCCCGCCCGATGGGGAGTTCCCGCCCACTGCGCTCCCAGCTCACCTGAACCTTCATCTCTCTGTCCGTGTCCCAGATCCGGATAATTCGGACATCGCCGATGTGATGAGAAGTCCGCTCTCCTGTTCCCAGTCCACCACCATTCCGGCTCCTGAGAAAACAGACATTCATTCTACAGCACTCCGGACCACCTACACAAGCCCGCCCCTGAGGAGCCTACAATCAATTCTAACAGTGAAAAAAACCTCAACGCAATCACCCCACAACAGAGGAAATCTAGAGGCTGTATATACCGAATGTCACACTTCAGTACCCCCCCCCCCCCCTTCCCAACCGGGGTCATGTGGTACCAGAGAGAATGCCCCCTGGTGCTCTGCCCTCCTGAAACTCCTCCCCCATGCTTCCCTTCTGACACCACCTTACCGTTGCTCTGCCCTCCTGACCCTTCCCCCTCATTTCTTCCCTCCTGACACCCCCCCCCCCGTGCTTGCTCTGCCCTCCTGAACACCCCCGCCCCCCCATGCTCTGCCCTCCTGGACCCCCACCCCCCCTACCCCCTCCCATCCTTCCCTTCAGACCCCCCTTCCATTCTTCCTTTTCGACACCCCGCCCTCCCCCCATGCTCTGCCCTCCTGAACCCCCCGTGCTCTACCCTCCTGACCCCCTCCCATCCTTCCCTTCAGACCCCCCCTTCCATTCTTCCCTTTCGACACCCCCCCCTCCCCGATGCTCTGCTCTCCTGACCCTTCCCCCTCATTCTTCCCTCCTGACACCCCCCCCCCCCGCTTGCTCTGCCCTCCTGAACCCCCTGGCCCCCCTCCCCCCATGCTCTACTCTCCTGACCCCCTCCCATCCTTCCCTTCAGACCCCCCCTTCCATTCTTCCCTTTCGACACCCCGCCCTCCCCCATGCTCTGCCCTCCTGAACCCCATAGCCCCCCTCCCCCCTGTTTTCTACCCTCCTGACCCCCTCCCATCCTTCCCTTCAGACCCCCCCTTCCTTTCTTCCCTTTCGACACCCCCCCTCCCCCCCATGCTTGCTCTGCCCTCCTGAACCCCCCTCATGCTCTGCCCTGCTGCCTCCCCCGCTTCCTGCCAGAGGACATGAAGGGCAATCCATTCCGCTGGACGGGGTGATATTTATCCGAAGTTTCCCTACTGAAGGAAGTCTGAGTCCGGCTCCTGCTGACCTTGAGAATGCCGGTTTCCTGGCTTTCATGTTCATCCGCTAACCAAGTTTCGGAATGACCTGACCTCAGACTAGACAGCCAATCGGAGGGAAGTCCGAATTTCTGGTCTGTGCTCAGACAGCACTGAACCCGGGGGATCACCATGACAGCCAGGTAACTGGTATCTTCAGTGCTGGCCCAGGTGCCCTGTACTCAGTGTTACATCGCGGCTCTCATGACCTCTGACCCCGAGACTCACCTTGTTTACTTTTGTCCAGATAAATGGAAACTCGCCGCGTCAAGCCTGAGGACAAAACACCATCAATCAGGAATGAAGTTCATGAGATCGACTACAGAAAACACAGAATATTAATCGGCAGGATTATCAACCAATGGTTAGAAAGGAGGAACTTCACCCCCCTCCCATGTCTCTCTCCCCCTTACCTTTCATGCTGGGTTGTGCACAGAAAAACACTCCCATACCCAGTGATGTCCGGTACGGACCTATCACAGAACATCACGGCCCGCGCCGCCATCTTCTACAATGACATCATCAGGAGGCCAGCCATCTTGTAGGCGGCCTCTTGACGATGCGCATGCGCTGCAATACGTTCCTAGGGGGCCGAACACACAAAAATACAGACAGCCGACCTCCTGGTGACAACAGGAAAGTGCATGTGCAGAGCACCATGAGGTGGGTGTCCCAGGAGACTGCGGAGGCTGCAAACATCATCCCGGCCTAGGTGAGAGGAGGGGGACGTGGGGGGAGGAGCACAATCATATAAGGTGGGGGGGGGGCAGGGGAAGCTCACTCTAGAAAATGATATACAACTCATTTGGTCTGAGTGGTGCAGGACGGAGTCATTGTCAGTCCAACGATCAGATCCGACCCGAGGTCCAGTAATGAAGGGGGTGCGCACAGGCCAGGCCGGGACTCGGGCGGTTCAGACCGGAAACAAAACTAGAATGGAACATAAAATGGAACAAATCGCTCTTCGCGGCCACAATATCGCACGGCCGGGCCGCCCTCTGACATTCCAACCACCCATCCAGTCTCCGATTACCTCGTGTGGACGGCAACATATCGGACAATCCCTGCCACGCCGTCACCATCTCCGGATTCTTCTCCAGATCAGCAAAGTTCTTCCACACCCTGATAGCGCCATCATCTGCAGAGACACAGTACACGCCATGACGCCCATCCCCCTACACACGTGAGAACTATATGTGGTCCTCCTCCATGTGACCCACGATGACATCACACAAACAGCTGGGATACGGCACTGATGACCTCACTCAGAAGAGGTGAATATAAAAGCAGGAAGTCACACCGCTGCGATTTCTGAAGACTTCATTGTGATTTGCATTCTATTCTATGTCTGTGAAATCGCAAAACTGCAGAAAAAAAGTCACGCGAGAATGACTTTAGAAACCGCGCTGCAGCAAATCGCATGCGTGAAGACACGACATTCATTAGATGCGATTTCAATTCCCAAATCGCAGCGGTATGACTGAGGGACACTAAGGGACAGAAGGTGATGAGGGGTTTGCATGTCTATATACACACACAGTGCTGCTTGAACTGTTCTGATGGCAGGTCATCCAAGCTGGCCGAGTTCCTGCACACCTACCTGTGGCAGCGAGCAGTCCTGTCCGTTCAGGTACTCCAAGCTGGCCGAGTTCCTGCACACCTACCTGTGGCAGTGAGCAGTCCAGCAGTCCGTTCAGGTACTCCAAGCTGGCCGAGTTCCTGCACACCTACCTGTGGCAGTGAGCAGTCCAGTCCGTTCAGGTACTCCAAGCTGGCCGAGGTTCCTGCACACCTACCTGTGGCAGTGAGCAGTCCAGTCCGTTCAGGTACTCCAAGCTGGCCGAGTTCCTGCACACCTACCTGTGGCAGTGAGCAGTCCAGTCCGTTCAGGTACTCCAAGCTGGCCGAGTTCCTGCACACCTACCTGTGGCGGTGAGTAGCAGCGAGCAGTCCTGTCCGTTCAGGTACTCCATGGCGGTGATGCGGGGGTGTGTAGCGCGGGTTCCCGTTGTGGAAGTAGTCCAGTTTCTCTCCTTTCTCCCAATCCCCCCAGAAGCTGCACCACAACAAAGAGAACTCTGGGTGAGTGTCGGGTCTAATCTCCGGTGTCACCTCCAGATCAGTGACATCCGGGTCACTCTCTGACCTCCCTGTGTCTCCACTACAGACCCCAAATATCTGATGGCCACTAAAGAGCCACCACTTCAATAAACAGAAAACTGAATTCCAAACAGCGAAGCGCAGAGAAGAAATACACAATTGGGAGGTTTACCCACCAAAGGATTTTTATTGGTGGAACAGAGGGAGTGGGCCAACAAAAGTCCTACAATACCCAGGACTCCAAATGCTGAAGGTGTGAAGTTCCTGTGCCAAGTATGTCCCAGGATGGTGCAGATGTCTATGAAGAACCTCCCAGGGCAATGATCTCAGAATGCACGTGTAGCAGGCCTCAGTGTCTGGCTGACAAACAGCAAGACCGTCATAGATATCTGCACATCCTGGGACACACTTGGCCCAGGAACTTCACACCTTTGGCATTTGGAGTCCTGGGTATCGTAGGGCATTTGTTGGCCCGCTCCCTCTGTTCCACCAATGGCTGCCTTGGGGACAAGACGGGTTTCTCTGAGCCCACACCTAAATATCTGACACCGACCTCCTGAAGAACAATCCACACTGAAGGCTTTGTAAGTGTTGGAATCGTACAGTCTGGTTATTAGGATTGTATGGTGGGCGTGGCTGGGCGTGGCTGAGTATGGGTGGGCGTGGCTGAGCATGGGTGGGCGTGGCCCCATTGGGAGGCCATTTAATGCGGATTCATGACTTTCACAGGCAATTTATAATATAAAATGTAGATTTTACACATTTGTGCCATTGTCAGGGAGGATACGCCTCAGTCATCCACATCCTTCTCTTCTCACCGCGGGTCAGAGACTGCTGGACGGTGGCCTGTGTGTCAGTATCATTGAAGTGGAAATAGAGCGCCCCCCGGGGGGGGGGGGTCTATGCCTCGAGGGAAAGCGGTGTGCTCGCCATATCCGCACATCACCAAGGGCGCCATCACTCCTGTACATCCTCACGGCACAGAGCGGCGCCATTAATGTACACGCAGCCGCACATCACCGCAGACGGGACAGGAGAAGCAGATATGATAGAGGCCACCAATACAGGGGGGTGTAGAGCCGGCCATAGGAGGACACGTGTGTACAATGTATGTCTGTGTTGGGGATACGTCATATGGACATGTGTACATGGACACACGGTACCCCCTGGACACACGGTACCCCCTGGACACAAGGCACCCCCGGGACACACGGCACCCCCGGACACACGGCACCCCCGGACACACGGCACCCCCGGACACACGGTACCCCCTGACACATGGCACCCCCCGGGACACACGGCACCCCCGGGACACACGGCACTCCCGGACACACGGCACCCCCGGACACACACGGCACCCCCGGACACACGGCACCCCTGGACACACGGCACCCCGGACACACGGCACCCCCCGGACACACGGCACCCCCGGACACACGGCACCCCCGGACACACGGCACACCCCCGGACACACGGCACCCCGGGACACACGGCACCCCGGACACACGGCACCCTGGACACGGGTTTGTATTTCTTAGTTAAGTCATTGTTTATAATAGAAAGAGGAGATTTAGAAGAGAAGTCAGGTGGAGGTCTGACGTCATCGCGTCATCTCGCAGACATTCATCACCGCCTTACCAGATACTGTCCTTGTCAGCCACGGCGATGCAGGAGGTGAACGGGTGAAACTTCACAACGGAGGGAACGCCAGGGTTACGGTTAATAAATATCTGGTCATCCAATCTGGTGACACCTGAGAGGGACAGAAAATGGAGAAAACTGATTTACCCTAAAATGTTTAATTTCTGGCTCATTGTGTGTTGGGGGGCGCCACCCTCTCTACCTGTGATAGCGGTCAGCTGGACAGGAAGTGATGTCACCACAACAAGAAACAGAGGGAATCCTCCAATGGGGACACCTGTTCCAGTGACAGCCGTGTGCTCACTTCGGAGATATTTCCTTGTTGTCACCCCCTCCCCTCCCCCTCCCCCCTCCCCCTCCCCTCCCCTCCCCCACCCCTCCCCGCGACAGGAGCTTTAAAGTAGAACTAAAGGGAAAATATTTGTTTCTGTAAAACACAAAATGCAGCTAACAGTTTTGCAGTATTTCAGAGGGTTTAAGGTTTCCTTTTAGTGCATTTGCTGCTCCGTCGATTATCTCCGTTTTAGCGCTCGCTGAATTTTACTTTTTGCATTTTTGTTTGTTTTGGATGGAGGAGGGGAAGGTATAGATCTCTGTCCACTTCCTCTTCCATCTGTGTCCCTATTGTAAAGATTTCACTTCCTGTCCCATAGCTAAACAGGAAGCAAAAGAATCCTTGGTTGTCACCAGAACTAGTGTCCCCATTGGAAGATCTCCCCTCTCTTCCTGCTCTGGGGACACCCCAAAATGTGGGATTTCCGTTCACTTTCAGTGAAAATGGTAAACGGGACAATAGAGAGGGGGAATCTCCCTCCCGGGGACACATAGTGGGGGAATCTCCCTCCCGGGGACACATAGTGGGGGAATCTCCCTCCCGGGGACACATAGTGGGGGAATCTCCCTCCCTGGTACACATAGTGGGGGAATCTCCCTCCCGGGGACACATAGTGGGGGAATCTCCCTCCCGGGGACACATAGTGGGGGAATCTCCCTCCCGGGGACACATAGTGGGGGAATCTCCCTCCCGGGGACACATAGTGGGGGAATCTCCCTCCCTGGTACACATAGTGGGGGAATCTCCCTCCCTGGTACACATAGTGGGGGAATCTCCCTCCCGGGGACACATAGTGGGGGAATCTCCCTCCCGGGGACACATAGTGGGGGAATCTCCCTCCCGGGGACACATAGTGGGGGAATCTCCCTCCCGGGGACACATAGTGGGGGAATCTCCCTCCCGGGGACACATAGTGGGGGAATCTCCCTCCCTGGTACACATAGTGGGGGAATCTCCCTCCCTGGTACACATAGTGGGGGAATCTCCCTCCCTGGTACACATAGTGGGGGAATCTCCCCTCCCGGGGACACATAGTGGGGGAATCTCCCTCCCGGGGACACATAGTGGGGGAATCTCCCTCCCGGGGACACATAGTGGGGGAATCTCCCTCCCTGGTACACATAGTGGGGGAATCTCCCTCCCGGGGACACATAGTGGGGGAATCTCCCTCCCGGGGACACATAGTGGGGGAATCTCCCTCCCTGGTACACATAGTGGGGGAATCTCCCTCCCTGGTACACATAGTGGGGGAATCTCCCTCCCGGGGACACATACAGTGCAGGAAATGCGTATTTGATCCCCCCTGATGCTGAATGTTCCCCCCTCACACAGAAATGATCGGTCTAACAATGGAATGTTCGCCCCTCACACAGAAATGATCGGTCTAACAATGGAATGTTCGCCCCTCACACAGAAACGATCGGTCTAACAATGGAATGTTCCCCCTCACACAGAAATGATCGGTCTAACAATGGAATGTTCCCCCTCACACAGAAATGATCGGTCTAACAATGGAATGTTCGCCCCTCACACAGAAACGATCGGTCTAACAATGGAATGTTCGCCCCTCACACAGAAATGATCGGTCTAGCAATGGAATGTTCGCCCCTCACACAGAAATGATCGGTCTAACAATGGAATGTTCGCCCCTCACACAGAAATGATCGGTCTAACAATGGAATGTTCGCCCCTCACACAGAAATGATCGGTCTAACAATGGAATGTTCGCCCCTCACACAGAAATGATCGGTCTAACAATGGAATGTTCCCCCTCACACAGAAACGATCGGTCTAACAATGGAATGTTCGGTGTAACACTGAGAGACAGAATACAACAACAAATTCAGCAGAAATGCGTCTAACAAATGATGACGGATCTGCATGTTCATGAGGGAAAGAAGGATTTGATCCCCTATCATTCAGCAGGATTTCTGGCTCCCAGGTGTCTCTCATACAGGTAACAAGCTGAGATTAGAAGCAGTCTCTTAAAGGGAGTGCTGCTAATCTCATTGTGTTACCTGTATAAAAGACACCTGTCCACAGGAGCCATCAAACCATCAGATTCCAAACTCTCCACCATGGCAAAGACCAAAGAGCTGTCCAAGGATGTCAGGGACAAGATGGTAGACCTACACAAGGCTGGACTGGGCTACCAAACTATGGCCAAGCAGCTTGGTGAGAAGGTGACAACAGTTGGTGCAATCATTCACAAATGGAAAGAAACACAAAACAAGTGTCAGTCTCCCTAGGTCTGGTGCACCATGCAAGATCTCACCTCGTGGAGTGTCAATGATCATGAGAACAGTGAGGAATCATCCCAGAACTACACGTGAGGATCTTGTCAATGATCTCCAGGCAGCTGGGACCACAGTCACCAAGAAAACAATTGGTAACACACTACGCCGACAAGGACTGAAATCCTGCAGTGCCCGCACGGTCCCTCTGCTCAAGAAAGCCCATGTCCAGGCCCGTCTGAAGTCTGCCACTGAACATCTGAATGATGCAGAGGAGGACTGGTGGGAAGTGTTGTGGTCAGAGGAGGCCAAAATCCAGCTCTTTGGCATCAACTCAACTCACCGTGTTTGGAGGAGGAGGAATGCTGCCTATGACCCCAAGAACACCATCCCAACTGTGAAACATGGTGGTGGAAACATTCTGCTTTGAGGGGGTTTTCTGCTAAGGGGACAGGACAACTGCACCGCATCAAAGGGACGATGGACGGGGCAATGTACCCTCAAATCTTGGGGAGAACCTTCTTCCCTCAGCCAGGGCATTGAAAATGGGTGGTGGATGGGTGTTCCAGCATGACAATGACCCAAAACACACGGCCAAGGCAACAAAGGAGCGGCTCAAGAAGAAGCACATTAAGGTCCTGGAGTGGCCTAGCCAGTCTCCACACCTTCATCCGATGGAAAATCTGTGGAGGAGCTGAAAGTTCGAGTTGCCAAACGTCAGCCACCAAACCTTAATGACTTGGAGAGGATCTGCCAAGAGGAGTGGGCCAAAATCCCTCCTGAGATGTGTGCGAACCTGGGGGCCAACTCCAGGAAACGTCTGACCTCTGTGATGGCCAACAAGGGATTGGCCACCAAGTACTAAGTCATGTTTTGTGAAGGGGATCAAATCCTTCTTTCCCTCATGAACATGCAGATCCGTCATCATTTGTTAGACGCATTTCTGCTGAATTTGTTGTTGTATTCTGTCTCTCAGTGTTACACCGAACATTCCATTGTTAGACCGATCATTTCTGTGTGAGGGGTGAAACATTCCATTGTTAGACCGATCATTTCTGTGTGAGGGGCGAACATTCCATTGTTAGACCGATCGTTTCTGTGTGAGGGGCGAACATTCCATTGTTAGACCGATCATTTCTGTGTGAGGGGCGAACATTCCATTGTTAGACCGATCATTTCTGTGTGAGGGGTGAACATTCCATTGTTAGACCGATCGTTTCTGTGTGAGGGGCGAACATTACATTGTTAGACCGATCGTTTCTGTGTGAGGGGCGAACATTCCATTGTTAGACCGATCATTTGTGTGGGGGGCGAACATTCCATTGTTAGACTGATCATTTCTGTGTGAGGGGCGAACATTCCATTGTTAGACCGATCGTTTCTGTGTGAGGGGCGAACATTCCACTGTTAGACCGATCGTTTCTGTGTGAGGGGCGAACATTCCACTGTTAGACCGATCGTTTCTGTGTGAGGGGGCGAACATTCCATTGTTAGACCGATCATTTCTGTGTGAGGGGCGAACATTCACCATCAGGGGGGAGCAAATACACATTTCCATCATTGTAGAGGGGAAATCTCCCTCCCGGGGACACAGACAGCAATAACACCTGACAGGGGTCTCTCCCCTCCCCTCCATCCAACACTGAGCGGGGGTCTCATCCCCCACCCTCCATCCAACACTGAGCGGGGGTCTCATCCCCCACCCTCCATCCAACACTGAGCGGGGGTCTCATCCCCCACCCTCCATCCAACACTGAGCGGGGGTCTCACCTTTCTGTATGAGACTCTGTGCTTGTCTCCGGACCTTGGAGTTGCGGAGGAACCTCCATTCTCGCTCCTTGCGGACTTGGCTCTCCACATCGTGCTCTTCGGGCATCTGGGGGACACAGAGAAGATGAATCACCACACTGGGGATCAAACTTAAAGTACAACTACGGCCTCACTGATAGAATATGTACCACCGCAATCCATTATGATGCCGCTTCCTCTGATGGGGTGACAACCATGCTGCACCAATCCTCAATTCAGAGCAGAGTTGTCATTCTCATGTGGGCGGTGCCTGTCTGCACCATATTGTGATAAGATATTGCAGGGGGTGTGGCTTTGAACATTCTCTGCTGATTCAGTTGTAGCTTGTCAATCAGCACCTGGCCACACCTAATCCCGCCCACTGCTTTCTGAATTGACAACACCGGGATGATGGGGATCAGAGGGGATGATGTGTAATCACATGATACGCGTTAGGGAAGTGCCAAGCTATTTATATCCTGTGTACATGTACCTCTGGTCTGGCCGTTTATGAGCAGCTGAACCGTTGTTAGGAAGTTCTTTTCTGATTATTTACCTACTTTAATAAACGATATCACACTATTTGAGGCCTTTTTCCACGGGCTCTTTATTTCTGGGGAGCCTGTAATTCTGAAGGTCCTGGGGCTGTGCTGAGCAAAGGACACATCTGCAAGTGACACCCCTGGATCCATGACACAGCTCCTCCTGGAACAGATGACATCTAGTGGTCGCCCTATAGATGACATCCGCCTGATCCTCTAATACAGTGGCTGGACTCAGCTTCCATCCGGATAGATGACATCTAGTGGTCACCCTATAGATGACATCTCCTGGCTCCAGTGATACAGTGGCTGAGCACCAGGGGCAGGTCTTAAATGCTCCATGCGTTTTAATATGCGCTATCTGGTTAGTGCATTATTTGGCTATTATCATTTCTGAAAGTCACTACTTTTGGTTTTTTACATATTGGAGACTGTATGCATTTTCAGCACATCTGATGAACTTACACTGACATTTTACTGATCCTCTATCATATGTTTAATCGCTATTTGGGTTAGCGCTGCACTCTCATTCTTTATCAGTTACTTTGGAGGTTCCCGAGGTGCCTTTTTGTGCAAGCAGCTACCGTACTGACACCTATACACTGCGCTCGATTTTATATATAGATTTTATATATGTTTATTTTAGAGGACAAGGAACTCCCCACCAGTTGCCTGCTTGCCACAAACCTTTCCTCATTACTGCCCTCCATACCTTGTTCCTGAACTTGGTAAAGGCGGGGCTGAGCGCCCCCCAACCCCGCCCCCCCTCCCCATGACTGGTGGGGTACAAGAGAAGAAACAGGAGAGGTGGAGAAAGCATGCCAATGATAAAGCAGGGAAATCCTTGCACAGCAGGAAGATCCCAGGATATAGTGAATGCGGGGTCTGGGGGAGAGGAGATATAGGGAATGCGGGGTCCGGGGAGAGCGGATATAGTGAATGCGGGGTCCGGGGAGAGCGGATATAGTGAATGCGGGGTCCAGGGGGGGAGAGAGGATATAGTGAATGTGGAGTCCGGGGAGAGCGGATATAGTGAATGCGGGGTCCGGGGAGAGCGGATACAGGGAATGGGGGGTCCGGGGAGAGAGGATATAGTGAATGCGGGGTCCGGGGGGAGCGGATATAGTGAATGCGGGGTCCGGGGAGAGGAGATATAGGGAATGCGGGGTCCGGGGAGAGAGGATATAGTGAATGCGGGGTCCGGGGAGAGAGGATATAGTGAATGCGGGGTCGGGGAGAGCGGATATAGTGAATGCGGGGTCCGGGGAGAGCGGATATAGTGAATGCGGGGTCCGGGGAGAGAGGATATAGTGAATGCAGGGTCCGGGGAGAGAGGATATAGTGAATGCGGGGTCCGGGGGGAGCGGATATAGTGAATGCGGGGTCCGTGGAGAGCGGATATAGTGAATGTGGGGTCCGGGGAGAGAGGATACAGTGAATGTGGGGTCCGGGGAGAGAGGATACAGTGAATGCGGGGTCCGGGGAGAGCGGATATAGTGAATGCGGGGTCCGGCGAGAGAGGATATAGGGAATGCGGGGTCCGGGGAGAGCGAGGAGGGGAGAGCGGATACAGTGAATGCGGGGTCCGGGGAGAGCGGATATAGTGAATGCGGGGTCCGGGGGAGAGCGGATATAGTGAATGCGGGGTCCGGGGAGAGCGGATATAGTGAATGCGGGGTCCGGGGAGAGCGGATATAGTGAATGCGGGGTCCGGGGAGAGCGGATATAGTGAATGCGGGGTCCGGGGAGAGCGGATATAGTGAATGCGGGGGTCCGGGGAGAGCGGATACAGTGAATGCGGGGTCGGGGGGGGGAGAGCGGATATAGTGAATGCGGGGTCCAGGGAGACCAGATATATGGAATGAGGGGTCCGGGGAGAGAGGATACAGTGAATGCGGGGTCCGGGGAGAGAGGATACAGTGAATGCGGGGTCCGGGGAGAGAGGATACAGTGAATGCGGGGTCCGGGGAGAGAGGATACAGTGAATGCGGGGTCCGGGGAGAGAGGATACAGTGAATGTGGGGTCCGGGGAGAGAGGATACAGTGAATGCGGGGTCCGGGGAGAGAGGATACAGTGAATGCGGGGTCCGGGGAGAGCGGATACAGTGAATGCGGGGTCCGGGGAGAGCGGATACAGTGAATGCGGGGTCCGGGGGAGAGCGGATATAGTGAATGCGGGGTCCGGGGAGAGCGGATATAGGGAATGCGGGGTCCGGGGAGAGCGGATATAGTGAATGCGGGGTCCGGGGAGAGCGGATATAGTGAATGTGGGGTCCGGGGGAGAGCGGATATAGTGAATGTGGGGTCCGGGGAGAGGAGATATAGGGAATGCGGGGTCTGGGGAGAGCGGATATAGGGAATGCGGGGTCCAGGGAGAGCGGATACAGTGAATGCGGGGTCCGGGGAGAGCGGATATAGTGAATGTGGGGTCCGGGGAGACCGGATATAGTGAATGCGGGGTCCGGGGAGAGAGGATACAGTGAATGTGGGGTCCGGGGGAGACCAGATATAGTGAATGCGGGGTCCGGGGAGAGAGGATATAGGGAATGCGGGGTCCGGGGAGAGCGGAAATAGTGAATGCGGGGTCCGGGGGGAGAGGATATAGTGAATGTGGGGTCTGGGGAGAGCGGATATAGTGAATGTGGGGTCCGGGGAGAGAGGATATAGGGAATGCGGGGTCCGGGGAGAGAGGATGTAGTGAATGCGGGGTCCAGGGAGAGCGGATACAGTGAATGTGGGGTCCGGGGAGAGAGGATATAGTGAATGCGGGGTCCGGGGAGAGAGGATATAGGGAATGCGGGGTCCAGGGAGGGCGGATATAGGGAATGCGGGGTCCGGGGAGGGCGGATATAGGGAATGCGGGGTCCGGGGAGGGCGGATATAGGGAATGCGGGGTCCGGGGAGGGCGTATATAGGGAATGCGGGGTCCGGGGACAGCCTGACTGGAATATTCCCAGGACGTTGCTAGGAAGTTGCTAGGTGAGGCCTAGTCATTACTGCTCACCTCCACCATCACAGAAGGGCACTTTTTCTTTGACTCCGACCCCCGACAAGCCCCCCTCACCCCCTGCCTGATGTGGTAGCTCTGAACCCAGCGTCTTTGGGCCAGGGGCGGACTGACAACTCATGGGGCCCCCGGGCAATAGGGGATCATGGGGCCCCTGTGTCCTTGCCCAAACTCAAAAAAGCCTATGAAAAAGGTACCAGGGGCATCTTATGGGGCCCCCTACTGACCCCGGGCCCTCAGGCAGTGCCGAATGGTCAGTCCGGAGGTGAGCAGTAATGACTAAGCTTCACCTAGCAACATCCTGGGAGCTTTTCAGTCAGGCTTCGGGATGTAAATGGCCTCCACCTATAGCGAGGGCATCCTTCACCTTTGGTCAGAGCTGCAGTTTGTGGTGATAGACGCCCCGCATGTACAGAGGCAGTTTCTGGTAACGGTGAACTATCCCTCTAACATAACAAACATGTCCCACTTCCCGGCTCTGTGTAATAGTATTGCACAGAGCAGCCTCAATCCTCCTCAGGTCCCCCGCTTGTCTAGTGCCCCTACAGGTAGCAACTTGCTATGAAGATGCTCTGTGCTCCCGCTCCCAGACCCTGCAGCTCAGCCCCGCCCCCTCCTCACTGGCTGTGATTGACAGCGGTGGGTGGTTTAGGAGCCAATGGAATCTGGGTATCAGCAGCACCTGCGGACCCACAATAGGTCAGAGAGCTAATCAGCTCTGCCGCTAGAAATGATGTAACCGGAGTTCCTCTTTAACTCGACCCAAAATCTGCACCGCCGTACCTTCATCACCGGCTGGGCGAAGTACTTGGCACTCCAGTCACAGAATCCGGTCTGCAGAGAACCCGAGATGAAGGCTTTATGGACGATGGCGTCGTCTCCATCTTCAGCAGTCTGAGGAAGAAAGACATCCGTCAGCCAATGAAATCCCAGCAAACACAAAGCTCAACCAATCACAATCCAGCTGACATTTAACCCACCAGAAGATTATTTACTGCAATGGGCGACACCGCTGTCAGTTTATTGGTGTTTTCCCCAATCTAGGCCAATGATTGGCCATCTCCTTCTACAGATAACACCCACATCTGTGATTTCCCCCCATTTTCTGATGAGCCGGGAGCGGCCTGATTGGTTTCTGTGCGTTTCCTCGAAATGTTCCGATTTCCTGTCACCCGGAACAGAATGGAAGGTAACCGAGAAGGATCTCTGCCGGCGCCATGTCTGGACGGGAAACCCAGGCTAAGCTCCCATAGAGCCGGAGGGTGACCGGATCCACGGTACAGGTGATCTGCAGACCGTATGAGGGGGACCAATGAATGATCTCTGTCTCCTAAGGGTCCGCCCCCTGTTCTCAAATGGCCGATACAGGTGAATATTTCCCATCCTCACTGATCAGCAGAGGCCGATACAGGTGAATATTTGCCATCCTCACTGATCAGCAGAGGCCGATACAGGTGAATATTTCCCATCCTCACTGATCAGCAGAGGCCAATACAGGTGAATATTTCCCATCCTCACTGATCAGCAGAGGCCGATACAGGTGAATATTTGCCATCTCACTAATCAGCAGAGGCCGATACAGGTGAATATTTGCCATCCTGATCAGCAGAGGCCGATACAGGTGAATATTTGCCATCCTCACTGATCAGCAGAGGCCGATACAGGTGAATATTTGCCATCTCACTGATCAGCAGAGGCCGATACAGGTGAATATTTGCCATCTCACTGATCAGCAGAGGCCGATACAGGTGAATATTTCCCATCTCACTGATCAGCAGAGGCCGATACAGGTGAATATTTCCCATCCTCACTGATCAGCAGAGGCCGATACAGGTGAATATTTGCCATCTCACTGATCAGCAGAGGCCGATACAGGTGAATATTTGCCATCTCACTGATCAGCAGAGGCCGATACAGGTGAATATTTCCCATCTCACTGATCAGCAGAGGCCGATACAGGTGAATATTTGCCATCCTCACTGATCAGCAGAGGCCGATACAGGTGAATATTTGCCATCTCACTGATCAGCAGAGGTCGATACAGGTGAATATTTGCCATCCTCACTAATCAGCAGAGGCCGATACAGGTGAATATTTCCCATCCTCACTGATCAGCAGAGGCCGATACAGGTGAATATTTGCCATCTCACTGATCAGCAGAGGCCGATACAGGTGAATATTTGCCATCTCACTGATCAGCAGAGGCCGTCTAGTCTGATTGTATAGAATACAGAAGGAACTACAGTGTCTTGCTGGTTGGGGGGGGTGTTGGAAACGCAGGGAGGGGTAGCTGCTAGCTGCTGGCTGGTTTGTATCCCCCCCCAACCAGCAAGACACTGTAGTTCCTTCTGCTGCAGTTTTTTTGGTGCATGAAAAGTCCTCATTTGCGTTTTTTTGCGGAGAATCACAGAGACCTTCCCACCCAGCAATAGGTTCTGTACATGCAGGGGGTGGGAAGGAATGGGTAGTCATGTGACCACTACGATTGGCTGTCACAGCGGTCACATGATTGGGAGCTGGTCCCACTGGTATCGGATCGCTGACAGCTCGGTGTCTGTGCTGGGGGGCGTGTGCGGTGAGCGATCTCGGCACCCAGTGAATGCCTATATGTGGAATGTGGCCATTGGAGACCAGCACTTTGCAGTCGCACACAAGTGCTACAACAAGTACATTAGACGTGAAATAAAAAGGGTCCTTCTGCTTCTTGTATGGAGGAGAAATTTTACCCCCCCCACCCTGCATTGCCCATAAAAGCATTTAAATGGTCCAGTAGCCGCTATTTTTGTCTGCGACAATTCTCTTTGTTAAAGAAAAAAAAATGCAATATTTGATGCAGAATGGGTCACATACACATGGAGCAGGCTGCCGTTCTATCAAAGCCTGCATAGGACCTGATCTGCAGAGAGAGCTTTGTGAGTCCTCTACAGTCATGTCGGGGCCCCTGGATTTACCCAAAAGGATCCAACAAAGGAAGAAAAATATACATCTTGTAAATGTTGAGCTTTGGTGCTGCCTCCCGTCCTGGCCCCCTCCCCGGTCCTGGCCCCCTCCCGGTCCTGGCCCCCTCCCGGTCCTGGCCCCCTCCCGGTCCTGGCCCTATGAATGAGCACATGTTGTTCCTATGTAAAACTGGCCCAGGAGAAGAAGAGTGAGCGTGTTCAGAAGGACGGCTCACTGAGCCAGCAACTGAAACCAGATGAAATATTTATGAACAGCAGACGGCTTCTAGGCAGCTCATAGAAGAGGAGGAGGAAAGAGAAGGAGGAGGAGAGGAGGAGGAAGAGAAGGGGAGGAAGAGGAAGGGGAGGAAGGAGGAAGGAGGAGGAAGGAGGATGGGAGAAGATAGGAGGAGGAGGAGAATAGGAAGGAGGAGGAAGGAGGAGGAGGAGGAAGAGGAAGGGGGAGGAGGAGGAGGAGGAGGAGGAAGAGGAAGGGGAGGAGGAGGAGGAGGAGGAGGAGGAGGATCGGAGGAGGAGGAGGAGGAGGAGAGGAAGGGGAGAGGAGGAGGAGGAGGAGGAGAGGAAGGGGGGAGGAGGAAGGAGGAGGAGAGGAGGAGGAGGAGGAGGAGACAGGAGGAGGAGGAGGAGGGGAGGAGGAGAGGAAGAGGAGGAGGAGAGGAAGAGGGAGGAGGAGGGAGGAGGAGGAGAAGATGGAGGAGGGCCGATGCGGAGGCAAGAGGAGGAGTAGTGCGGAGGTGGAAAGGAGGTGAGGAGAAGAGGAGGCGGGAGGAGGGCCGGAGGACGGAGAGGGCGGCAGGCGGATGGCTTGTCGTGTAGTCCGGAAAGAGAATGCCGCGGCTGGAAAGAGTGAGGAGCGAGGAATGGGGGACGGAGCGGCTGAAAGTGGAGGGCTTGCTTCGCGGCCGGGAGCGGCTCGGGTTCCCTTCGGCTTCTTCCTTTCTGCCTTCTCCGCGATGCGTCTCTTCGGTGTCCTTGGTCCGTCTTACTCTTCCGACTGCCGGTCGGGAGGAGTGAAGAGTAAGATCGGAGGAGCGGGAAGGGAGAGCTTCTCTGCGGTCTATCTCGTGCCGGCGCTCTGGCTGCGAGCGAGGCCGACTGGCTTCCGTCCTCATGCTTCCTTGCCGTCGTCCTTCTTCCGGCTTGTCTGCGGGCGTCTGCTATCTCTCTTCCGCTCTGCTCCGGCTCTGCGCGGTTTCCTGTTCTTCGGCCGAGCTCTGCGTCTATGTGGTTTTCGCTGCTTCCCGCATTGCTTCTTCTTCGATTCTGCCTTCTTCGTCGGGAAGAGCCCGTGGCTGCTTCTTCACCGGTTTCTCCTTCGGCCTTTTTCTAGGAGGTTCGTGCTCTGCTGCCGCTCTTCCGTTTCTTCGTTCTGGATCGATGGAGGTGGAAAGAGTCGCCTCTTCCTTGCGCTCTTCCTCTTGGCGTCTGGCTCTTCTCCATTCCGAGCTTGCTTCTTCCGAGCCTTCACTCCTTCTCTCCTCTTCTTCTCTTCGCTCGCGTAGTTCGGCTGCCCGCGTCTTCTCCTTCCTCTGTCTTCTTCGCCTAAATTACGCTCTCGTGCCCTGTCTGGCTGGATCGCGAGCCCGCGCGCTGGGAAGGGCTTCGCGGCTTCGGCTTGCCGCTTGTCCGCTTCCTGCTGCATCTCCGCGGCTGACTATCCGCTGCGTCGTCGCTTCCTCTGGCCCTTGGCTGTCGGCCGACCTTCCTCTTCTCCCTTCGTCCGCCTCTGCTTCGGCTGTCTGATCGGCTTCTTCTTCCATCTTGGTGGAAGAGGTCTTCTGCTTCGTCGAGCTTCTTCCATTCGATCTTGCCTCTTCTATGCCGCGTCGGCGCTTTTCATTGTCTTCTGTCCGCGGCGGCCTGCCTGTTCTGCTTCCGCTGCGCTGCGGCCGAAGTCCGCCGCGCGGCCTCGTCTGTCTTCTTCTGCCGCGATTCCTCTCGCGTCCGCTGTCCTGCTCCGCTTGCGTCCTCGCGCTTCGAGCTGCTCTTGCCTCGTTCGGTGCCGAGCGTCTATCTTCTTCCTCTTCCTGCTTCTTCTTCATTTCTCGTACGCGGCCTCTCTTCGTGCAAGCGAGGACCGCACTCGGTTCCTCGGCTGGCGTCTGCCTTCCTACTTCCCCGCTGCGGCTTATTTTTCCTCACTTTCGGAGCGTGGCTTCCTCTGCGTCTCTGCGGCCTCTTCTTCGCTTCCTCTCGTTCGAGCTCTGCTTCATTCCGATCTGGCTCTTCGGCCGCGGCTGGCTCTTCTTCGCTTTTCTGCGTCCGGCTCGACTCATCTTCTTCGTTCTTCATCTTGCGGCCGCTCTTTCCTTCTTCGGCTACTTCTTCTGTCCGCTTCTTAGCTTCTCTTCCTCGCGGCATTTCCGGCGAGCGGCCTCCTTCTTCTGTCATGTCCTCTCCCTCGAGCTCGCTTCCGGTCGACCTCCTTCGGTCTTCCCGCGCTTCCTCTGTCTTTAGGGAGGAAGCGCTTCCGCTCGGCCGCTTCGGAGTGTCGGTCGGCCGCGCGGCTTCTGCGGCGTCTTCCTCTCTTCCTCGAGGCTTCTTCCGCGGTCAGGGGCCTGTGCGGCCTCGCGCTCGTGGCCGCGTATCCTTTGACCCTGCACTGTGTCGCCCGCATCGGCCTCACTATCCCCTCAACTGACTTAACCCCCCCCCACAGGCAGCTCCCCATCGTTGAACACAAGGAGAGGCCGAAGGCCGCGCCTGAAGCTGCAATGAGCACCAAGTAGGCCGCTACGTCCTTCTCCAGAGCACGGCCAATCCTTACTGGTTGCAAAGCATGTTAACTGCACATGGCTGGTCAGGACAGGACATCTACAAATGGCCGGTATTTCGTTATCAGCCTCTACTGTTTGCATACTAGAATGTCCTAGTCCATGGGAGTCTAGCGACGTCTCCTCTGCAGCCCACGGTATCCCTGTCGCCTCTAGAACATTCTAGAAGCAGGCCAAATACAAAGCATCCTGCGATTCTTCGGATCTCTTCATACATTCATTGTGCATTCTGTACCGTGAGCGATTCCTCGCCTTGTTTCATGTGGTGACGGCTGCATACCATCCTGGATAATATCTGTCGGTGGAGCTATGAGGGGCACAAAGCACCCGCAGCACAGATCGATTGCCGCTGGATGCACGAGCTTTCATCCATCCAGCCCGGATTGGTTCTTTCATTGTTAGACCTCGGTTGTCAGGTCTTTGGTTCTGGCCTGTATTTATGTGGGTGACACGTATGGCGGTGAAGGTTTGACGCACAAGTCACTTTATTTTGCCATTAGTTGCACGGACTGAGCACGGCGTTGTGTACACCTTCGGCTGATTGGACACATTTACTGTATTATTTATATGTATTATTGTCATGATTCCTGTTTGTTTTGGCACTTTATTGGATTGTTTTTGCACCTTTTGAAATGTCTGCATTTATTATCAGCAGTATTTAGAAGCACTTTATTTCATTTAGGGCTGTTATTTATATATAGGATTGTTCATCAGCGCCACACATGTAGGAGATTTATTTAGTGTGCGTTGTGGTGGGAATACACAGTGAGTGCAGAGGTTAGATTTATCACACATCTTCATCTTTTTACATTTTTCATGATTGGAAGTGTTGATTTTTTTATAGACAGGGTGCAGGTCGTGATTGTAGCCACGCCTCTCCATATATACGCTGAGACGAAGCACATACATGAGGCACATACATGAGCTGAGACAAGGCACATACATGAGCTGACATGAGGCACATACATGAGCTGAGACGAGGCACATACATGAGCTGAGACGAGGCACATACATGAGCTGAGACAAGGCACATACATGAGCTGACATGAGGCACATACATGAGCTGACATGAGGCACATACATGAGCTGACATGAGGCACATACATGAGCTGACATGAGGCACATACATGAGCTGACATGAGGCACATACATGAGCTGAGACGAGGCACATACATGAGCTGAGACGAGGCACATACATGAGCTGAGACGAGGCACATACATGAGCTGAGACGAGGCACATACATGAGCTGACATGAGGCACATACATGAGCTGACATGAGGCACATACATGAGCTGAGACGAGGCACATACATGAGCTGAGACGAGGCACATACATGAGCTGAGACGAGGCACATACATGAGCTGAGACGAGGCACATACATGAGCTGAGACGAGGCACATACATGAGCTGAGACGAGGCACATACATGAGCTGAGATGAGGCACATACATGAGCTGAGACGAGGCACATACATGAGCTGAGACGAGGCACATACATGAGCTGACATGAGGCACATACATGAGCTGACATGAGGCACATACATGAGCTGAGACGAGGCACATACATGAGCTGACATGAGGCACATACATGACCTGAGACGAGGCACATACATGAGCTGACATGAGGCACATACATGAGCTGACATGAGGCACATACATGAGCTGACATGAGGCACATACATGAGCTGACTTGAGGCACATACATGAGCTGACTTGAGGCACATACATGAGCTGACATGAGGCACATACATGAGCTGAGACGAGGAACATACATGAGCTGAGACGAGGCACATACATGAGCTGACATGAGGCACATACATGAGCTGACATGAGGCACATACATGAGCTGACATGAGGCACATACATGAGCTGAGACGAGGAACATACATGAGCTGACATGAGGCACATACATGAGCTGAGACAAGGCACATACATGAGCTGACATGAGGCACATACATGAGCTGAGACGAGGCACATACATGAGGCACATACATGAGCTGAGACGAGGCACATACATGAGCTGAGACGAGGCACATACATGAGCTGAGACGAGGCACATACATGAGCTGACATGAGGCACATACATGAGCTGACTTGAGGCACATACATGAGCTGACATGAGGCACATACATGAGCTGACATGAGGCACATACATGAGCTGAGACGAGGAACATACATGAGCTGAGACGAGGCACATACATGAGCTGACATGAGGCACATACATGAGCTGACATGAGGCACATACATGAGCTGACATGAGGCACATACATGAGCTGACATGAGGCACATACATGAGCTGACATGAGGCACATACATGAGCTGAGACGAGGCACATACATGAGCTGAGACGAGGCACATACATGAGCTGAGACGAGGCACATACATGAGCTGAGACGAGGCACATACATGAGCTGAGACGAGGCACATACATGAGCTGAGACGAGGCACATACATGAGCTGAGACGAGGCACATACATGAGCTGACATGAGGCACATACATGAGCTGACATGAGGCACATACATGAGCTGAGACGAGGCACATACATGACCTGAGACGAGGCACATACATGAGCTGACATGAGGCACATACATGAGCTGACATGAGGCACATACATGAGCTGACATGAGGCACATACATGAGCTGACTTGAGGCACATACATGAGCTGACATGAGGCACATACATGAGCTGACATGAGGCACATACATGAGCTGAGACGAGGAACATACATGAGCTGACATGAGGCACATACATGAGCTGAGACAAGGCACATACATGAGCTGACATGAGGCACATACATGAGCTGAGACGAGGCACATACATGAGGCACATACATGAGCTGAGACGAGGCACATACATGAGCTGAGACGAGGCACATACATGAGCTGAGACGAGGCACATACATGAGCTGACATGAGGCACATACATGAGCTGACTTGAGGCACATACATGAGCTGACATGAGGCACATACATGAGCTGACATGAGGCACATACATGAGCTGAGACGAGGAACATACATGAGCTGAGACGAGGCACATACATGAGCTGACATGAGGCACATACATGAGCTGACATGAGGCACATACATGAGCTGACATGAGGCACATACATGAGCTGACATGAGGCACATACATGAGCTGAGACGAGGCACATACATGAGCTGAGACGAGGCACATACATGAGCTGAGACGAGGCACATACATGAGCTGAGACGAGGCACATACATGAGCTGAGACGAGGCACATACATGAGCTGAGACGAGGCACATACATGAGCTGAGACGAGGCACATACATGAGCTGAGACGAGGCACATACATGAGCTGAGACGAGGCACATACATGAGCCGACATGAGAAGGATGTTTCTGAACAAAGAGGGAGAAGACTTTGCAGTCCGTTTTCCAGCGTCTCTCATAATATGACCAACTGATGGCCAGAAGAAGACGTTTGTCCCGAGAAAAGGAAGAAATGCGAATAAAATATTAAGGTTCGCCTTTAGAGTAGCAGAGCTGAAGAAAAGATGGCCGCCCACCTAGGACACCAGCAAAACACTGAGGCATGCTGGGAGTAGGCGGGGAGAAATGCAGTTTTGTGATCTACCAATCCCGCTTCATGAAATCCGTGTTTTCTTTCATTTACAAATCAATTCATTCATCGAAAGTTGAAATATTGATCAGTGAAGATAGCGAGTCCTGCGGAGGGCGGCTTACCTGGTCAGGGCCTTTGTCAAACATCTTACGGGTGCGGGGGAACTGATGGGAATGGGGGGTGTACTGGACCCCCATCGCTGTCCCCACATTGGCTGGCCGGTTGGAAGGAAGCTCCCGATTGGCTGGAGGTTTTGTCATGTCGTTGGTAAGGCTGGAGCTGCTGGCACTTGGAGTTGGAGGCGACCCCCTGGAGAGACATTAAATGTCACATGACTATCGCTGGTCATCGCACACAGGAACACGCTATATATATGTTCTGCACAGATCACTGAAGACCACAAGCAGCTGGAAAAGTTCTACCTTCCTGACCCGATCCCAGGACTTCCTACATCAGATCAGGTCTATGACTCCAAGTACTGAAGTCGGTGAAAAACTGAACTAATGTCCCTATAGAGAGCTCCCTGGTCTCTCCTCCCCGCCTGCAGTCTATATCCCGTGTGCTGAGTATAGAGAGCTCCCTGGTCTCTCCTCCCCGCCTGCAGTCTATATCCCGTGTGCTGAGTATAGAGAGCTCCCTGGTCTCTCCTCCCCGCCTGCAGTCTATATCCCGTGTGCTGTCTATAGAGAGCTCCCTGGTCTCTCCTCCCCGCCTGCAGTCTATATCCCGTGTGCTGTCTATAGAGAGCTCCCTGGTCTCTCCTCCCCGCCTGCAGTCTATATCCCGTGTGCTGTCTATAGAGAGCTCCCTGGTCTCTCCTCCCCGCCTGCAGTCTATATCCCGTGTGCTGTCTATAGAGAGCTCCCTGGTCTCTCCTCCCCGCCTGCAGTCTATATCCCGTGTGCTGTCTATAGAGAGCTCCCTGGTCTCTCCTCCCCGCCTGCAGTCTATATCCCGTGTGCTGTCTATAGAGAGCTCCCTGGTCTCTCCTCCCCGCCTGCAGTCTATATCCCGTGTGCTGTCTATAGAGAGCTCCCTGGTCTCTCCTCCCCGCCTGCAGTCTATATCCCGTGTGCTGTCTATAGAGAGCTCCCTGGTCTCTCCTCCCCGCCTGCAGTCTATATCCCGTGTGCTGTCTATAGAGAGCTCCCTGGTCTCTCTCCTCCCCGCCTGCAGTCTATATCCCGTGTGCTGTCTATAGAGAGCTCCCTGGTCTCTCCTCCCCGCCTGCAGTCTATATCCCGTGTGCTGAGTATAGAGAGCTCCCTGGTCTCTCCTCCCCGCCTGCAGTCTATATCCCGTGTGCTGTCTATAGAGAGCTCCCTGGTCTCTCCTCCCCGCCTGCAGTCTATATCCCGTGTGCTGTCTATAGAGAGCTCCCTGATCTCTCCTCCCCGCCTGCAGTCTACATCCCGTGTGCTGTCTATAGAGAGCTCCCTTGTCTCCCCTCCCCTCCTGCAGTCTACATTCCGTGTGCTGTCTATAGAGAGCTCCCTGGTCTCTCCTCCCCACCTGCAGTCTATATCCCGTGTGCTGTCTATAGAGAGCTCCCTGGTCTCTCCTCCCCACCTGCAGTCTATATCCCGTGTGCTGTCTATAGAGAGCTCCTTGATCTCTCCTCCCCACCTGCAGTCTATATCCCGTGTGCTGTCTATAGAGAGCTCCCTGGTCTCTCCTCCCCACCTGCAGTCTATATCCCGTGTGCTGTCTATAGAGAGCTCCCAGGTCTCTCCTCCCCTCCTGCAGTCTACATCCCGTGTGCTGAGTTTAGAGAGCTCCGTGGTCTCTCCTCCCCGCCTGCAGTCTACATCCCGTGTGCTGTCTATAGAGAGCTCCCAGGTCTCTCCTCCCCGCCTGCAGTCTACATCCCGTGTGCTGAGTTTAGAGAGCTCCGTGGTCTCTCCTCCCCGCCTGCAGTCTACATCCCGTGTGCTGTCTATAGAGAGCTCCCTGGTCTCTCCTCCCCGCCTGCAGTCTATATCCCGTGTGCTGTCTATAGAGAGCTCCCTGGTCTCCCCTCCCCGCCTGCAGTCTACATCCCGTGTGCCGAGTATAGAGAGTTCCCTGGTCTCTCCTCCCCGCCTGCAGTCTACATCCCGGTGTGCTGTCTATAGAGAGCTCCCTGGTCTCTCCTCCCCACCTGCAGTCTATATCCCGTGTGCTGTCTATAGAGAGCTCCTTGATCTCTCCTCCCCTCCTGCAGTCTATATCCCGTGTGCTGTCTATAGAGAGCTCCCTGGTCTCTCCTCCCCGCCTGCAGTCTACATCCCGGTGTGCTGTCTATAGAGAGCTCCCTGATCTCTCCTCCCCGCCTGCAGTCTACATCCCGTGTGCTGAGTATAGAGAGCTCCCTGGTCTCTCCTCCCCGCCTGCAGTCTACATCCCGTGTGCTGAGTATAGAGAGCTCCCTGGTCTCCCCTCCTGCAGTCTACATCCCGTGTGCTGTCTATAGAGAGCTCCCTTGGTCTCCCCTCCTGCAGTCTACATCCCGTGTGCTGTCTATAGAGAGCTCCCAGGTCTCTCCTCCCCTCCTGCAGTCTACATCCCGTGTGCTGTCTATAGAGAGCTCCCTGGTCTCCCCTCCTGCAGTCTACATCCCGTGTGCTGTCTATAGAGAGCTCCCTGGTCTCCCCTCCTGCAGTCTACATCCCGTGTGCAGTCTATAGAGAGCTCCCTAGTCTCCCCTCCTGCAGTCTACATCCCGGTGTGCTGTCTATAGAGAGCTCCCTGGTCTCCCCTCCTGCAGTCTACATCCCGTGTGCTGTCTATAGAGAGCTCCCTGGTCTCTCCTCCTGCAGTCTACATCCGGTGTGCTGTCTATAGAGAGCTCCCTGGTCTCCCCTCCTGCAGTCTACATCCCGTGTGCTGTCTATAGAGAGCTCCCTGGTCTCCCCTCCTGCAGTCTACATCCCGTGTGCTGTCTATAGAGAGCTCCCTGGTCTCCCCTCCTGCAGTCTACATCCCGTGTGCAGTCTATAGAGAGCTCCCAGGTCTCTCCTCCCCTCCTGCAGTCTACATGCCGTGTGCAGTCTATAGAGAGCTCCCAGGTCTCTCCTCCCCTCCTGCAGTCTACATGCCGTGTGCAGTCTATAGAGAGCTCCCTGGTCTCCCCTCCTGCAGTCTACATCCCGTGTGCAGTCTATAGAGAGCTCCCAGGTCTCCCCTCCCCTCCTGCAGTCTACATGCCGTGTGCAGTCTATAGAGAGCTCCCAGGTCTCTCCTCCCCTCCTGCAGTCTACATGCCGTGTGCAGTCTATAGAGAGCTCCCAGGTCTCTCCTCCCCTCCTGCAGTCTACATCCATACATCTACATACAGAGCTCTGATGAAGAAGGGATGCCCTTCGAAACGCGTCAGCTGTACTGAGTATCTTCCCCCATGATGGCATTCGTGCCGGCTCCTTATCTTTCAAGTCCCTCTGAGGACTTACATGCCTGATTTTATTCGCTGTTTGTGAGTATCTTTTTATAATTAATACATTTTGGTTACTGAGGTAATGCGCAAGGTTGGTGCGCTTCTCGTTTCGCTTTGCACCTCGATTTCAGCCTCATGCCTACACTTTTCTCTGGCTTTGGATTATCTTGTATCTGAAGTCCCGCCAAGGAACAATCTGCAATACATCAATAACACATGTCAGGACCTTCCTCACCCGACTTGATGGATCAGCATGCCTTTGTTGGTGGGACTGGCCGGGGCAGACTGCGTCAGGGCTGCAGCATCCAGAATGCGTTGTGGCCGGGTGCTCATGGTGGCCTGTGGAAAAGATACCAATAAAGTGAGAAGCCTGCAGAGGGGCAGCGATTGTGACAGCCGAGCAACAAAATCTATGGCTTTGGATATGGCGGCGTCCCGTGAGGGCCATCAACCATCGGCGCTCTCCAAGGATGACGCTGCCATATAAATTATTAGGAATAATAAAGCCAAGTAGCAGCTTCCAGCGACATACTCAGAATGGAGCGCCACTCCGCAGGGTGCTTCATATGAGAAACAGACATTATTTCTTCATTTATTTTGTTTTTTTATTCCCCGTACATAAAACTTGATTGGATTCAGCTCCTTAAAGTCGATCTAAACCCAAGAACAAAAATATAATACATTGTAGCTTTCCCGTCCTTATATATGGCGGCTGCATTAGTGTTCTTTTATCCTTCATTTTCACCTGATGACCCTGCCAGTAACACACCCCCTGTCCCAGGGTGACAACACTCACTGCTTTACTGTATCTACGGAGCAGCGATGCCAACCTAGGAAAGGACTACAGAACAACTCCCCCTCTCCTCTTCATAACATGGAGGAAAGGTGCTCTGCAATCCACAGAAGGAAGTGTGCAGGGCTGAGAAAACCACAAAGTGCACAAGACAATATATTGGCTCCGTACTTCTGCCGGGATCAGCGGACATTTCCTTGTACTTCCTGAAGGGATCGAACAAAACCCTTCCAATGGTGTATGCCAGTGCTCTTCAAACTGTGGTAAACAAATTAGCACCAAGTCTAATGCATCGTTTACTCCCAACGATGCCGGGACATTTCCAACTCCCACCAGTCTGGCCCCCCAAAGTCTAAAGGACAGTAAACTGCCCCTTCACTTGGAGAGTCCGGAGACCCCTGGTTTATGTAAAAGCCCAGAGGGGAGCAAATAATAGGATCTTGTGCTGACTGTGCCAATCCTTTTCTTGGAGTCTAGTGAGGGACACAGGAAGTCCTAACCTTTGGGTTATATTGCTGCCTACAGAAGGGATGAAGACTGGTAACCGAGAGGCCAATCCAAGGTACAACCTTCCTGCCGCCAGCATGTCTCAATTCTGTAGCAAAGCTTTCCGAGATCATTACCATCAGCACAGGAGGGTGGGACCCAAGTCCTTCAACTGAGTCCAAGAGAAGGATTTTACAGTGAGGACAGAAATCCTGCTCTCTCCATTGAAGGACATAGGAAGTCCTAAATCGGTAACAAGCAACAAGAACTGGGGACAGCCTGTGGCCCAGAAGGCCCGTCTGAAAGCCCTTTCACCTGCATCTGACATCAGATGAGACAGAGACCTCCACCTGGAAGAACGCAGAGAATATGTGAGCAGAAGGACGGCTAGCAGCACAGCAAACCCGGGAAACCGTCGTCTTCTGCCAGAAAGCCTGAGGTGCTGACAGCTCTAGCAGAGTGAGCCTGAACGGGAAAGGGGGAGCCGGATTCTGGAAACCACAATTGATGGTCTATCTGAATCACTTAGATATGGTGGAACAGGAAGCCCATCTGGAGTGACAAGCACAGGAATACGTTTTTCCGAAAGATGATGAAGATGATGACAGGTAAACTCACACGGCTGGAAGACAATGGGACAGGAGAACAATGTCCTGACTATAATGAAAGGCAGAGACTACCTCTGGCAAGAAGGAAGTTCTGGGCCGGACACAACCTTTTCCCTGAAGGTTCTATGGAAGAGACCACCACCAGTCCAGACACTCGCCCCACAGAAGTGATAGACAGAAGTATGTGGGTGAGACCACAGAGAGGAATGTCTTTGTTGAGGTCAAAGGGTGGCTCCCAAAATGATGAGAGAACCAGATTCAGACCCAGGGAATCCGAACTGGAAAACCACCTGGGAGAAGTCTGCACAAAGGTCTAAATCCAAAGCCAAGAGTCTCTGAAACAAAATGAAACATGCAGAGACTTGACCCTCTGATTGTGAGGGGCCAAATAGAGGGCCAGACCCAACTGCCGGAGGGAGATGATCCTTACTATGGAGAAGCCCCCCGGACTCATACCAAGTAAATGAATCCTTCCGTCCCCTATGAGACTCTGGTGCCTTCTCATAGTTTAACTCCGGGACCCTTTGATTGAGTGGTGACTCCATGCACTCGGTTCCATACATGTAGACTTCCTACTAGTTGGACTTTATTGGTTCCCTACATGTGGTCATTATGTATGGCATTGTATATGAATGAATAGGACGCTGAGCGCCATCATACAAAACCCATTGAGCTGCTGCAACACCCCCCAAGGTGACCCCCCACTCGGATCATATAGAGATAGTGCTGTGCTAACTCATAATATAAATAAATTACATAGAATACCAAAATTCTATAGAATAAAGAAAAATCCTTTTAAGATTGTGACAGTTCAATCAAAATATAAATAGTGCTTGTTCTATACGGTGTGCTCCAAAATGCCGAAACGTTTCCAAGACACCCCAAGTCTCCACCTTGAGCACCTCCACCAGATATACGGAAGGCCACGCCCCTCATACGGTGGATCCATACATGAATACAGGACGACCAAGCAAAGTCATTCCACCAAAGATCCTCCGGATGGCAGCAAAGAGCTGATGACAGGAACCCCTCAGATGACACAACACACGGAACCCCTGAGATGACACCACACACGGAACCCTTCAGATGACACAACACACGGAACCCCTGAGATGAGACAACACACGGAACCCTTCAGATGACACAACACACGGAACCCCTGAGATGACACAACACACGGAACCCCTGAGATGACACAACACACGGAACCCTTCAGATGACACAACACACGGAACCCCTGAGATGAGACAACACACGGAACCCTTCTCAGCTTACACTCCACATGTAGGAAGGAAAAGGGCCCATAGCAGAATACCGATTATTTCACATCAAAATGTATTCCAGAGTAACACACATGATATAATACATGTCAGAGTAACACTCATGATATAATACATGTCAGAGTAACACTCACATGGTATAATACATATCAGAGTAACACTCACATGGTATAATACATGTCAGAGTAACACACACATGGTATAATACATATCAGATCGTTTTTTTTTACATGTTACTCTGATATGTATTATATCATGTGTGTGTTACTCTGATATGTATTATATCATGTGAGTGTTACTTTGGAATACATTTTAATGTGAAATAATCGGTATTCAGCTATGGGCCCCATGTGGAGTGTAAGCTGAGAAGGGTTCCGTGTATTGTGTCATCTAAGGAGGTGGTTGAACCTGGAGGTCAGAAGAAGGTCCACATCCAGAGTCCCTCACCCCCAAAACAGGTCATGGAACACCTCTGGGCCTAGTGACCATTCTCTTGTGTCCAGGCACTGCCATCTGTGGAAATTTTCTGCCATTTGTCTGTACCTGGAATGTGCAGAGCTGACAAGCCCGGAACGTGATGTTCCGTCTAGGACAAGATCCGCTCTACCATTCATACAGCAGTAAGACTTCTGGTTACTCCTTGGTGAGTAACGTACGCCAGAGTTCCGGAGTTGTCCTGCTGAAGAGATTGGATGGCCTTTCAATAGACTGGTGCAGTGCAGAAGGGACAGCTAAATCATCCAAAGCTCCAAGATGTTCATCAGAAGGCAAGATTCCTCCAAAGGCCGGGTCACCTATCCCAGCAAGATGTCCAGAAGGCAAGATTCCTCCAAAGGCCGGGTCACCTATCCCAGCAAGATGTCCAGAAGGCAAGATTCCTCCAAAGGCCGGGTCACCTATCCCAGCAAGATGTCCAGAAGGCAAGATTCCTCCAAAGGCCGGGTCACCTATCCCAGCAAGATGTCCAGAAGGCAAGATTCCTCCAAAGGCCGGGTCACCTATACCAGCAAGATGTCCAGAAGGCAAGATTCCTCCAAAGGCCGAGTCACCTATACCAGCAAGATGTCCAGAAGGCAAGATTCCTCCAAAGGCCGGGTCACCTATACCAGCAAGATGTCCAGAAGGCAAGATTCCTCCAAAGGCCGGGTCACCTATACCAGCAAGATGTCCAGAAGGCAAGATTCCTCCAAAGGCCAGGTCACCTATCCCAGCAAGATGTCCAGAAGGCAAGATTCCTCCAAAGGCCGGGTCACCTATCCCAGCAAGATGTCCAGAAGGCAAGATTCCTCCAAAGGCCGGGTCACCTATCCCAGCAAGATGTCCAGAAGGCAAGATTCCTCCAAAGGCCGGGTCACCTATACCAGCAAGATGTCCAGAAGGCAAGATTCCTCCAAAGGCCGAGTCACCTATACCAGCAAGATGTCCAGAAGGCAAGATTCCTCCAAAGGCCGGGTCACCTATACCAGCAAGATGTCCAGAAGGCAAGATTCCTCCAAAGGCCGGGTCACCTATACCAGCAAGATGTCCAGAAGGCAAGATTCCTCCAAAGGCCGAGTCACCTATACCAGCAAGATGTCCAGAAGGCAAGATTCCTCCAAAGGCCGGGTCACCTATACCAGCAAGATGTCCAGAAGGCAAGATTCCTCCAAAGGCCGGGTCACCTATACCAGCAAGATGTCCAGAAGGCAAGATTCCTCCAAAGGCCGGGTCACCTATACCAGCAAGATGTCCAGAAGGCAAGATTCCTCCAAAGGCCGGGTCACCTATACCAGCAAGATGTCCAGAAGGCAAGATTCCTCCAAAGGCCGGGTCACCTATACCGGCAAGATGTCCAGGACTCCCCCACAACACGAACGTCTATTGCTGGAATCTTTGGAGAAAGGAAGGACGTACCCGTGTCCAGAGCTGGATTTCTGAGCCACCAAGCCAGGGACAGCCTGGTCCTCAGTGTTCATCAGATCCGCCTGTACAGAGACCAGATCGATTTGTTCCATGATGACAGAATATTGTCAGATGTCTTGAGTGAATTGGGCAAACAAAGAGGCCATGGTCAGTTCCAAGATTCCCATCGAGAAACAGACTCAGGCAGCTTCTAGACCAGAAGAGTCTTAAATGTCTCCTGAGGAAGGAAAAGTCTGGCCTGAGAAGTTCCCAAGTCTAGACCCAGCTACTCTGAGCAATACGTTCGTTCCATGATGAGTTCTGAAGGTTGAGGATCCACTCGAAGCTTTATAATGTCTGGACAGTCAAAGTCCTCACTGACCTCCACAGAAGGATGTCCAGGTATTCCACAGAGAGCAACAGGGCCAACACTGGAAGCAGCACCCATATAGAGGCTGAATGGCAGGGCCACAAATTGGTAGTGTAGGGCCCTACAGCAAACGTGCAGAAAGTGTGTGAGATGGGAAGAGTCCATTCAGAATTTTGGGGTCTTAATGTAAACATTTAAAGTGTTCCTAAACACCGGACCCCACATTCCCTATATCCGCTCTCCCCGGACCCCGCATTCACTATATCCGCTCTCCCCGGACCCCGCATTCACTATATCCGCTCTCCCCGGACCCCCCATTCACTATATCCGCTCTCCCCGGACCCCGCATTCACTATATCCGCTCTCCCCGGACCCCGCATTCCCTATATCCGCTCTCCCCGGACCCCCCATTCACTATATCCCCTCTCCCCGGACCCCGCATTCCCTATATCCGCTCCCCCCGGACCCCGCATTCACTATATCCGCTCTCCCTGGACCCCGCGTTCACTATATCCTCTCTCCCCGGACCCCGCATTCCCTATATTCGCTCTCCCCGGACCCCGCATTCACTATATCCGCTCTCCCCGGACCCCGCATTCACTATATCCACCGCACTATATACAGAGCTGCAGTTAGTACACAGAAAAGGCAAAGCTCTGAGATCAGACTGCTTATCTTTGGACGTGTTCCAGAACACCGACTATTGAAGCTGCTGGATTGGTATGACAGGCAGAGCACTGAGAGCCTACAGATGGTGACAGGTTCTCTTTCCATTTTCTCAGCAGTAAAGGATGGCTGGCAGTGTGTGGGTGGAGGGAGGGACGGGAATCCCCCTGGCAGCTGCTGTCACCGATTTGTAACAGAGTCTTCTGAGCGCATCACAATGGTGGTCCCGGGGGGAGGAGCGCCGCTCTGCTGCATACAGGAGATGGAAATGCTGCGACAAGCACCAGCCCGCCGGGAGAGACGGGAAATCCCCAGGAATCACTTCAGTTCTGTGTCATTCCTGGCAACCGAAGGTCCAAGTCCTGGGCCTCATATGTCCCCAACGCAGAATGACGCCTTCCCCACCTCTTTGACCCCTCTCAGCCTCCCCCGCCTCTCTGCCCCCTCTCAGCCTCCCCCGCCTCTCTGCCCCCTCTCAGCCTCCCCCGCCTCTCTGCCCCCTCTCATCCTCCCCCGCCTCTCTGCCCCCTCTCATCCTCCCCCGCCTCTCTGCCCCCTCTCAGCCTCCCCCGCCTCTCCGCCCCCTCTCAGCCTCCCCCGCCTCTCCGCCCCCTCTCAGCCTCCCCGCGCCTCTCCGCCCCCTCTCAGCCTCCCCCGCCTCTCCGCCCCCCCCCTCTCAGCCTCCCCCGCCTCTCCGCCCCCTCTCAGCCTCCCCCGCCTCTCCGCCCCCTCTCAGCCTCCCCCCGCCTCTCTGCCCCCTCTCAGCCTCCCCCCCTCTCAGCCTCCCCCCCGCCTCTCTGCCCCCTCTCAGCCTCCCCCGCCTCTCTGCCCCCTCTCAGCCTCAGCCTCCCCCCCTCTCAGCCTCCGCCTCCCGCCCCCTCTCAGCCTCCCCCGCCCTCTCTGCCCCCTCTCAGCCTCCCCCGCCTCTCAGCCCCCTCTCAGCCTCCCCCGCCTCTCCTCCCCTCTCAGCCTCCTCCGCCTCTCTGCCCCCTCTCAGCCTCCCCCGCCTCTCTGCCCCCTCTCGCCTCCCCTGCCTCTCCTCCCCTCTCGCCTTCCCCCCGCCTCTCCGCCCCTTCTCGCCTTCCCTGCTTCTCTGCCCGTTCTCACCATTCCCCACCTCTCACCTTCCCCACCTCTCTGCCCCCTCACACCATTCCCCACCTCTCACCTTCCCCACCTCTCTGCCCCCTCACACCATTCCCCACCTCTCACCTTCCCCACCTCTCTGCCCCCTCACACTATTCCCCACCTCTCTGCCCCCTCACACTATTCCCCACCTCTCTGCCCCCTCACACTATTCCCCACCTCTCACCTTCCCCACCTCTCTGCCCCCTCACACTATTCCCCACCTCTCTGCCCCCCTCACACCATTCCCCACCTCTCACCTTCCCCACCTCTCTGCCCCCTCACACCATTCCCCACCTCTCACCTTCCCCACCTCTCTGCCCCCTCACACCATTCCCCACCTCTCACCTTCCCCACCTCTCTGCCCCTTCTCACCATCTCGCACCTTGCTGCATGCTTATGGCTCCGCCCATTTGTAGGCCTCATTCACACAGGTGTACTGAGGGGCTGAGTGCCCATATGAGGATGTACAGGTGTTCTATGGAGCCCCTTTTATGTCAGTTGGGATGTCAGTGGCCGCACAGACACAGATGCTGCTCCCAGTTTGACAGCCATGTGGGTGTGTGGCCCCGAGTGCACACTGTCTACACTTGGGGCCACATACCTGCAAGCGGTCAGTCATTTGAAGGGGGCCCCATACTTCTGGTCATATAGGAGGTGTGGTGGCCATACAGTGTATATTGTCCCCATGGCAGAGATCATACAACCCACCTTGTAGGCAATGCTGTTGAGGACTTTCATGGCGAGGTCAGAGGCCTCTGGATAGGGGTCTGCAGCCAGGTGAAGGAGGACCCTCCATATCTGGGTGTACACGCTGTTGAAGGACACACCTACAGGAAGACAAAATTCATGTCAGTCGCTGCGTGTCAATAATACACTCATCACCGCTCCACCCCGCGGATCGCATGGGACACAGCCACACATCTGTCTGGGACATTTATCCTCACTTCCTTTCTGGTGACAACCAAGTGCCACCATTTCTAGCCCTGGTGTCACAGCAAGATGCAGAGAGCTGTCTGTGTCCTCACTAAATATACGTCCCACCTCCTCCGGTCCCTGTGATAGGCTCCCATCAGGACAGGAATTAAAGGGAACACTCCTGCGGTGGGGAAACATTCAGCAATGTGTGGAGTTGGTGTAATGATCACACAAAGCCATCACTGCGGCAGCAATCCTCCGAGACAACGAATATGAAATATATAGAAAGCGGGATTGTGAATTCCAGCAGCACTGACATGTAAGGGGAGATCCCTACAAACAGCCACTAGGGGGCGACACATGGATGGGCCAGATTGTCATGATGGTGTTCATCTATAGGACTGATGGCTTCCTGTGCCGCTGTGTGCGTGTATATGTGTGTGTGTGTGCGTTGTATATGTGTGTGTGTATATGTGTGTGTGTGCGTGTATATGTGTTGTGTGTGGTTTTGTGTGTGTGTTTGTTGTTTGTTGTGGGTGTGGGGGTTTGGGGGGGTTGGTGGTGTTTTTTTTGTTTGTGTGGTTTTGTGTTTTGTTGTTTTTGTGGTGGGGGGGGGGGTGTGGTGTGGGGTGGTTTGGTGTGTGGGGGTTTTTGGGGGGGGGGTGTTTTGTGGTGTTGTGTGGGGTGTGTTTTGTTTGTTTTGTTTGTGTGGGGGTATTTGTGGGGGGGGGGGGGGGGGGGTTTTTTTTGGGTTTTTTGGGTGTGGGTTTTGGGTGTTGTGTTTTTTTGTGTGGGTGGGGGTGTGGGTGTTTTGTGTGTGGGGGTGGGTGTTTTTGTGTGTGTTTTGGGGTGGGGGGTTGGGGGGTTGGGTTTGGGGGGGTTTTGTTTTGTGTGGTTTTTTTTTGGGGGGGGTGGGTGTTTTTTTGGGGGTGTTTTGTGGGGGGGTTTGGTGGTTTGGGTGTGTTGTGTGGGGGGTGTTTGTTTGTGGGGGTTTTTGTTGTTTTGGTGTTTTTGTTTTTTTTTTTGGGTTTTTGTGTGGTTTGGTTTTGTTTTTTTTTGTGGGGTGGGTGTGTGGTTTTTTGGGGGGGGGTTTTGGGGTGTGTGGGGGTTTTGGGGGGGGGGGGGGTTTTTTTTTTTGGGTGTTTTTTTTTTTTTGGGGGGGGTTTTTGTTTGGGGGTGTTTTTGTGGTGTTTTGTGTGTTTGTGTGTTTTTTGTGGGGGGTTTTTTGGTGGGGGTTTTTTTTTTTTTTTTTTTGTGTGGGGTTTTGGGGTTTGTTTTTTTTTTTGGGTTTTTTTTGGGTGTGTGTGGGGGGGTTTTTTTGTTGTTTTTGGTTTGTTTTTTTTTTTTTGGGGGTTTGGTTGGGGGTTGGGTGGGGTGTGGGGTTTTGGGGGTTTGTTTGGGGGTTTTTTTGTTGGGGGTGTTTTTGTTTTTGTGTTGGTTTTTTTTGTGGTTTTTTTGTTGTGGGGGGGTTTTTGGGGGGTGGGGGGGGGGGTTTTTTTTGGGGGGGGGTTTTTGTTTTGGGGTTGGGTGGGGTTGGGTTTGTTTGGGTTGGGGGTGGTGGTTTTTTTTTTGTTTTGTGGGGTGTTTTTGTGGGGGTGTGGTTTTGTGTTTTTTTTTTGTTTGTTTGTGTGGGTTTTTTGGGGTGTTGTTGGTTTTTGTGTGTGGGTTGTTGTTGGGGGTGTTGGGTTGGGGGGGTTTTTTTTGGGTGGGGGTTTTTTTGTGTGTGGTGTTTTTTTTTTTTGGGGTGTGTGTTGTGTGGGGGTTTTTGTTTTGGGGGTTTTGTGGTGTGTTTTTGGGTGGGGGGGTGGGGTTGTTTTTTTGTGGGGGGTTTTTGGGGTTGGGTTTTGGGTTTTGTGGGTTTTTTTTGGGTTTTTTTTTGGG